TTCTTGACAAGGAAGAGGATTTAACTTGCAGAAGCTGTTACAAAGGCCTAGTTTTTTTCACATCATAATGGGCATTTCACATAATCTTAGATGAACACAACTGTAGACTTCTTATAAGACCCAACCTAACTTTAGGCTGTTCTAGATTATTTTGTATGTTGTAAATCCATCCCATCAGCTGTTTCTTGGGGGTCTGAGAAAGACTGGGAACAACTGAGGTTTACAATGACTAGTGTTGGGCTTGTTTTTATGACATTAGATGGGATCCCTTCCTTATCCTCAACCCAGATAAAGGAGCTCCTGGTGTCTGTAAAGCATAAATGCAACATAAAACAGGTAATAGTACTCAAAATACCTTTAAATAGGTTGTAAGTTCAGATTTTTGTTGTAAGTTTAGATTATTTTTGATTCATGTAAAAATAGGATAATAGGCCAGCAGGCAAAACCCACTTGCACAAAATTTCCCTCCCATTTTTCTGTGGGATGTGTCTGCTCAGGCTTTTCAACAATGCAAGTAAGAGGCACAGGCAAAATGGACTGTTCTTCAGCTAACAGTGCCATTCTCTAGCAGAAGTGCCAGCCCTATATATCAGGGTCATGTTTTGGTTTTTTTTTTAGAAAATATTCTGTTTCATACATAACAAACACCGACAAAGTAATTATAAGTAAATTGTTCAGCTTAGTGTTTAATTAAAACCCATTTTATAAAGGAATTACTTCAGTTACTGACCAATCATTAGATCAATCTCACTATTTACCAAATTTAAATGCATACAAACAGAGTCTGTGGCAGCTGTGCATTTGTCTGGAGATGTATGTGACTTCTAGTATTTGTGTTTATATAAAAGGAAAAACTGCAATTATTACAGGACTCATTAAAACCTTCTCTCTCAAAAAAACCCCTTTATTGACAAGAGGTTATAATTGAATAAGGTATTTCAGTCTTAGAGACATAATTAACTCCAGCCTGACACTTTGGTGAATGACCTTTTCAAGAACTCAGAACCCTGAAGACCCCCGTTTGCAATCAGGGGTGTGACTACAGCCTGCTCTACCCTTTTTGCAGTGATGCTGTGTGAGGAGAGCACAGACAGCTGTGTCTGGAGACATCAGCAACAGCTGCTCCAGCACAGTTTGGATGGTGAGCATCTCAACAGTCTTTCCTGCTAAAGCTGTGTTTATGCATGGATACTTCAATGGAGCTTTGAGAGGACAATGCTGTAGCAAACAAGAAAAATATGTCACTCATCAATTGTAACAAGATGAAAATACTTAGCTATGTCAGAAAACTTAAATTACTTTACAAGACCTCTTAACTTTCTCCTTTCCTTTTTGCTCCTTTTTGTTCTCAACCATATTTGCCATGTGCAGTATCATAAGCTCAGATTTGACCAGCAAAATTCCTCTCTGAAGGAAAAATTGTTCAATTTATATAGTTAATATATAATAAAGTTTGAAGTGGTTTATTAGCTTACTAACAACACATTAATTAAAGTGATCGTTGAAGTATGCATTCAAGATCAAAATCACTACAAGAAGTAACATGTAGAATACCAGCAGACATGAACTTCTAAATACCTTTCTAAACCACCCCAGAATTAATGAATCCCTCCCCCACAGCTAGCAGCACACCTGCCCCTCCCGGACACAAGGGTTTCCTGATGTGCTGGTCTCTGCAACCTGGCCCTCCACTATGTTGCTGGAGTACCCCCAGTAACCTGTCCCTGTTTGCTTGTGCTGGGGTGCCCAGCACTGGACACATCACCCAGATCTGTCTCATCAGGTTGAGGAGGAAGACTATCTCCCTTGACCTCCTGGCAATGCTCTGCCTAATGTGACCCAGGAGACTGCTGCCTTTCCTCAAAGTAACAATGACAACAATTTTAGTAATCTTTAAAAGTTTTTGGTGGGTTTGGACTACAGTGGCCCAAAGGAAAAGCTGTCCCTGAAGCATCTATAAACAAATATTAAAGATTTTCGGAATGTTTATTTACATTGTAATTTGCGTCCCTGCAGGAAGGCTAAAGAGGAACATTTTGCAAGAGCATGTAGTGACAGGCTTTAAACTGAAAGAGGTTGGTTTAGATTACATTTTAGGAAGAAATTCTTCACTCTAAGGTGGTAATGTTGCCCAGTGTTGGAAGGTATGGATCAAACTGTCAAGGAGGACTGTAAATCAATCAAGTGACCTCACAGCCTGAGTGAAGAGCAGGCCAGTGATTCTCTAGCATGGACAAAGCTTAAAGGTGCCTGCATCTTCTTTATGAACCTTTGCCCAGGTGCTGCTTTTAGGGTCCCCCTGAAAGCAAGGGAACAGGAATAAACAGACTCTTTGTATTCTAACAGTGACTTTGTGGCTGTCCCACCTGCCTACTTGGTTCAACACACACACACACACACCTGGATGTGCTGGATGTGTCATCCCTAGATGTATTCAAGGTCAGACTGGATGGGACTTTGAGCACCCTGGTCAAGTGGAAGGTGTCCCTGCCTACACCAAGGGGGTTGGTGCAACATGATCTTTAAGATCCTTTTCTACTCCAAGTGTTCTATATATTTCTATAATTTTCTCTATTAATTCTTGTACTAGGGAACCAAGATAATTGCAGGGCTTCTTTCTATCTGCTGCAGCTACAACCCTTGATGTCAGTTTGTGAAAATACTTGGTGTTTAGAGCTAAAATACTCAATTTTCAGCCAATGTTACTAATCATGTCTGCCAAGTCTGCTGCAGGATGGCAGAACAGAAGTGAGGACAAAAGGTAGCTTCTTGTCTTTAGTGTGATATTCTAAAGATAGCAAAGTTACATTCTTAATTTGGTGCCTTAGTGGTGGCTGAGCTATTTCCCAAATCTGTGGTAGCACATACATTGTGTACCTTCATTTTTTTAGAGTTGTGATGTCCTGTACTGTGTGTCTCTCAGTATGAATGCTCTGATCCTTCTGTCTGTAAGAGCTGAAATCAGAACTGGCCTTCCTCTCTAAAAAGATTTGCTAATCTCAGCCCATAAAGTGATAGATAACTGTTCTGTGTAAACAACATGATTGACAATCTCTGCTTGGGAGACTGAACTTAAAATCAAGAGGTCTGAAAACAGAGGCCAAAGCAGCTACTTGAAAAGCCTGAGCATGTTTGTCCCATGGGCATTTCTAGGAAACTATCTCCAGAGATGGTCAAAGGAGTGAATCAACGAATACATCCCAGAATATTTCTCTCATTCTTTTGAGTCTGTCATGAAAAGCTCAGGATGCAATAAAGCAGCCTTTCCCTAAAGAGAATCAATCAGCTATCTGACTGCATTTCCTTTCTCAAACACAGATCAGATGCTGTACAAGACAGCACAAAAGACATTACAAAACAGCCTTCCCACAATGAAAGCTTCTTCCTAATTCTCTATAATTAGAATGACTTTTGAATGAGAAACAGACTGTACAATTTGTGCAGCCTGAGAGACTTCCTGCTCTAAAGAGCTATGAAATAATAACCTAGAGTGGGCTGCACCAGACCTTCCCCTACAGAATTAATTTTGTCTCCTGGACATCACAGGGAGTTTTGTGGTGCATTCATAGAGTATCTGGGAAGAGGAGAACACTGTGATAATACAGTTGCTCTCTGTTTACCAGAGACCATGAAGATGACCTACATATTTTCACACCTAGGCAATCTCTGGTGGTGTCCAGCATTTATCTTCCTTCTGACTCTTGTGACAGTTACGTGCGCAGCACTGGTCCCAAATCAAAATGCTCACTGATGCCAGCTGACAGATCAGAAGTATCGTGCAAAATCCTGCCCAATTTGCATCAAGATGCCTTGAAAATCTTGGTTGCTGGATTATGTTTACACCATTATTTACAGGGAATGACAGAAAAACACACTCTTATTTCAAAACAAGTATTATTCAATGTTTATTTTCAATTGGGTTATTTGACCCATTCATATATGCTCAAATGCAGTTTAAGCCTTTGATGTACATAAATAGATAAAGCTTAATAATACACAGTTAATAGATGTATCTTTTTAGTGTGTATATTGCCCAAAAGAAATGTGAAATATGAGAGGTTTGTGAAATTTTAAATTAAATGTACTAGCTCAGTTATATGCATTCTATGGCAATGTCATAGTCTAGATTAGTGAAATCATAATAAAGAAAAGTTTTACTTGCTAAGAATGGTATTGGACCACTGGAGAGGTGGGTGCTGGGAAACTGGACCAAAAATACCTTTGATTATTTTAGTTTTTTACTTTGATGACAACATAAAGTAAGCATTCAGTCCAACAAGTGCTCATTTTTCCTTTGAAACAAAATATTTTAATAAAGGATTTTTCTAATAATGTATCAGTGAAGATAATTAACTTTTAAAAAGTCTGGTTTACTTGGAATACCTACAATTTTAATGGGAGACAGAGAAATCACTAGCTTGTTATCTTTTACAATTTCTGCTTCTCCTGTTATCCAATGGTGACTTTACTTGAGCACAAAAACTGCTTAACTACACAAACAAGTCATGGGAATCAAAACATATAGAGAAGGCACAGTTTAAACTAAGTTTGTAAATTATTTCCATATTGCAAAGGCTGCATTAGCTCCTGCAACTTCTGAAGCAACTACAGGTGATGTTCTATATTATGGCACTTTTTTAATGGCTGTTTTGTACTTTGCTATACATCTCGCATCTCCTTGATACTTCCACCTATCTCCTAATACCCATTATATATCTGGTAGCCCTTTGCTTCTCTGCAAATGTGGAAATTCCAAACTCTCCCCCTCCTCCCTCCCTCCAACCCTCACACTACCCCAGAATGACTTTTTTCATGCAAATAGGGTAGAAGATGGGGATAAGAAAGGGGATCAAGATTAAGCTAGTTATAGGAATGTCATCCTAAATTTATTCAATATTTTACTTTCTTAGACTTCCCTTTTCAGTTTTCCTAAATGACTTTGACTTTGTTCTTCAAGTGCAAGTACAAAAACCAGATGTTAAAAATTCAAAACACTGTGGCAATTTTCACCAAAACTTTATTATGATACATTAGCAGGGATTTAGATTAGACAAATGCTTGCATCATTGTTTTACTTTCATGGATCCATTATTTCCCATCTCACCTATCATGATCGAGTTCTGAAAGCAGGTTTGAGAGTTTCTTGAGAGATTTCATGTTATGAATTCTGCCTTTTGTATACAATAAATATTTCAATCTGTCCAAGTAAGTAAAACTCCACCTGGAAAAGCAAACACACTGTGTGGCAAATAATAAAAAAGAGATACTTAATACTAAATTTCTGAAGTCGTCTATGTGCTACACAAGATTAAATAAGTTCAAAGCCAAACCCCAAAATTATCGCACCCAAAGTCAAAACCAAAATTCATCTGCACCACTGCTCCTTGTACTTGCTCTCTCTCTGCTTTTTAACCGCAACATGTCCATGACACTGCGTGCGTATATGTCTCGCAAATTAACATTGATATTTGAATCACTGGATGAGTTCTTCATGAGTTTCTTTAAAGCTTCACGCTGCCGAAGAGCAGCTTCTTTTATCTTCAGTGTAAAATAACAGGCAGAAAAACGGTCATTTATTATAGCTATTGGCAAAGCCAAAACCAGTATTCCTGATAGTATACACATAAAGGCTACTACCTTACCAATGGTAGTGTCTGGTCTAATGTCACCATAACCAACTGTTGTCATGGAAGTTGTTGCCCACCACCAAGCACCAGGTACACTTGTGAAGGTTGTGCCTGGCACACCTTGTTCAACAAAGTACTCCACAGTGGAAAATATAGAGATTCCTACAGAGAGGAAAAGAAGCAGAAGGCCAACCTCCTCATAGCACTGAGCAATAGTCATCCCAAGAGACCGCAAGCCTGAAAGATAAGAAATGCTGTTAGTAGGTTGATTCATGTAGCAGTCATTATATCTTTGCAAAACATTTCTTACTTAAAGGCTGACTGCTTTATATTTTATTTGAATGCGGGTGAACATGTCTTGACAATCACAGAGTCAGTAAGATTAGAGAAGACCTTCAAGTGATGCATCCAGTTGTTTCATGAACACTTCCAGGACTGTGACCCCGTCACTTCCCTGGGCAGCCCATTTCAATGCTTAACCACCCTTTCCATGAAGAAATTCTTCTTGACATCCAACCTGAACCTCACTGGCACAGCCTGAGGCTGTTTTCTCTTTTCTTATTGCTTGATGCCTGGGAGGAGAGGCTGACCCCACCTGGCTACACCCTCCTTTCAGGTAGTTGTAGAGAGCAATAAGGTTCCCCCTGAGCCTCCTTTTCCCCTGGTTGAACAACCCCAGATCCCTCAGCCACTCATATGATTTACTCTCTTGATCCTCACCAGTTTCATTGCCCTTCTCTGGACATGCTCCAGCACCTCAATGTCTTTCTTGTAGTGAGTGGTCCAGAATTGGATACAGGATTTGAGGCTTCCCAGTGCTGAGTACAGGGTGATAAATAGTTTCCTAGTCTATTTGGCCACACTACCAATGGCCACGAGGCCACTGGCCTTTGAGGACACTTGGGCACAGCTGGCTGATCACACCCAGATCCTTTTCCACTGGGCAGCTTTCAGCTGCTGTTCCCTCAGCTGCTCTTCCCCCTTCAGTTCATTTGAACTGAAACAGGGGTTGTTGTGATGCAAGTGTAGAACCCATCACTTGGCTTTAATGAATCTCATACTGTTTGTCTCAGCCTGTCCAGATCATTTTGCAGAACCCTCTTATATCCAGCAGATCAACTCCTCCACCCAACTTAGTGTTGTCTAAAAACTGACTAAAGGGTACAACCCAATTCCCTCATTCAGATCATCAGTAAAGATATTACACAGGACTGGCCCCAATACTGAGCCTTGGGGACTCCACTAGTCACTGTCACCAACTGGATGTGGCACCATACACCCCAGGGCCAGTTTTCACTCCAGCAAAGAGTGCATCTGTTCAGGCCACGGGTCTCCAGTTTCTCCAGTAGAATGCTGTGAGAGACAGTGTCAGAGATTTTACTGAAGTCCAGGTAGACAACATTCATAACCTTTCCCTCATCCACTAGGCAGGTGATGTAGTCACAAAAGACCAGGATGATCAAGCCTCGGCTGAACTGTCCTTTCCTAAACCTACAGTCCGCAGCTGGGCCTGATCCCCTGGGTGTCCTGTACATGCCATGTGATCATACTCAAGATCGTCTTTTCCATAATCTTCCCCAGCACCAAGGTGAGGGCTGTGGTTCCCTGGATTCTCCTTCTGACCATTCTTGTAGGTGGGCATTCCATTTGCTAACTTCCAGCTCCCTGGTTGACGAAGGCCGATCATAAATAATGGCAAGCACTGTGACAAGCTTTCCTGCCAACTCCCTCATCACCCCAGGATGAATCCCATGTGGCCCCATAGACCTGTGAATGTCTAAGTGGCACAGCAGGTGACTAACTACATCCTGTTGGATTGCAGGGGGTCTATTCTACTTCCCATCCCTGTCTACCAGCTCAGGGGCCTGGGTGCCATGAGGATATCCACTCTCTTTGTTAAACAATGAGGCAAGAAGATATTAAGTACCCCAGCCCTTGCCTCATCTTTGGTGATAATGTTACCCCCCGCCTGCAACCAATAAAGGACAGAGATATTCCTTGCCCCTTATTTTGTTGTTAATGTATTTATAAACCCACTTTTTACTGCCTTTCACACGTAGCCAGATTGAATTCTAGCTGAGCTTTTGCTTTTCCGATTTCCTCTCTACATGACCTAACAAAATACTTGTACTCTTCCTGAGCTCCTCTCTTTCTTCCAAAAATCATAAACTCTTTTCTCTTCTCTGGATTCTGGCAGAAGCTACCTGTTCATCCAGGTTGCTCTACTTCCTCCTTGGCTTATCTTTAGGCACATAGGTACCGCCTGCTCCTGAGCCTTTAAGATTTCTTTCAAAAGTATGTCCAGCCATTCTGGAGCCTTCTGTTTTTAAGGGCTGTTTCCCAAGGGACTCTCTGAACCAGTCTCCTGAACAGGCCAAATCCTGCCTGCTGGAAATCCATGTGAGAGGTTTTGTTACCTCTTTCCTCACTTCACCATGAATTGAAAACACTCTAATTTCATGGTCACCGTGCTCATAATGATCTCTGACCACCATATCTCTCACCAGCACTTCTGCTGGTCTAATGAGGCACTGACCCTGGTAGGCTAAAGAGAGGTGCTGCTCTAAACAGAAGCTGGGAAAAAGTGATTTACAGAAATAGATCACAGCATCAGACTGAACATCTGACATCATCGATATTTTCTTAATACACAGTATAGGAATTATTTTCATTACTTATCATCTGAACAATGTATACATATATTTTAGACAAAATAAACTATAATGATTTATTAATTGGCTGAAAAGAAGATCTAGCACCACTCTAAACTACTTAAAAACACACAAAAATATATATACTTGGAGACTGAATGTGCCAAGCCTCTGTTTTCCAGCCACTGTCCTATTTTTCTCTTGGACCAAGGAGCCCTTAGTTACCAAATTTGTGTTGCTATGTGAGTACTTAGACCCCAGTTCAGTCCACTCAATAACTTTTTCTTTAAGGACTGTTTTCAATCCTTTTATAGTTTTCACAAACTCTCTTTGACCCTTCTTCCCTCTCCCCAAGCCCTATCCCTACCTTGTATCTGGAGACATCAGAACAAATACAGTCTTCCGGTAACAGCTGCACTTGTGCCAAACTCAATATAGCTCAATGCAAGCATGGAATCCTGTTAATTGACTATGTACTGCATCAGTCCTTTTGCCCATGAGCTGCACAGGGAGTTCAGGACCACTCTCCATAACCCCCTATATTCCTGTTAGAGCTACTGCTTCAAGGCCAGACCGCAGGAAGCAAAGCAAGCAGGAAAGTAAATCCAAAAATAGTGCAATAGATAAATATTGCACACATAAAGAGAGAAAGAAGATAACAGGGTACCAATTCAGCTGAGACACATAGGAGACTGAAATTATCTTTTGAATTACTTTGGATTAGTTTTTATTACTATTCTTTAAAAAGGTGAGATGCTTTCTCTAATAAATGAGAAAAACATAATGCTTATGAATTACCCTTCATGGGTATACTTCTCACTAAACTAGTGTTCGCAAAACAGCTTACTGAGGCTCTGCCTCTGCTTGCAGACTTCATGTGCTAGTTAGCATTACAGGCAATTTGATTTTTGGAGTTTCAAACTATAAGATGTTAATATTTCTTGCTTTTGTGTCTTTCTTTTCCCCCAAAGGTCTAATGGGTTTCAGAAATTTTATGTACAGCTAACACTGGAAGTACATAGTAGAGTTTGGAGGCAATGCTGGGGTTTTCTTCCAATGCTATCTGCTACAAACTCCAGTAAAGAACTTACCCATACTGAGACCTTGTATTACTATACCTATGATATATTGAACATTTATTACTGATATAGATTAAATCTTTGACACAAGGGGAATAAGATGTATCAGTGCAATCTTTTCTCTGTAAATATGACTGCCTTCATATTTTGGAAATACTAATATCAGCAGTGCAAAATCTCTGTGATAACTGCAAGGACTCAGATCAAATTCTCATTTCCAAGTAAGCTACTATGAGCCCTTGCCCTGTAAAACTTCCTACTAAACAAGGCAGAAGAGTAAGTCCTTTCAGGTGAGCTAGGAAGAAGTTACAATTTAAAATCATTCCTGTAGCATTTCTTTTCAAAGCATAAATGAATAGTATAAAAGCCAGGGTTTGTAGCTCATGATGAATCTTGAGAGTATTATAGCTAAAATAAAAAGCAAGTATTTCACATAAAATAGATTAAAATAAGGAGGAAAAGAACAATAACTGTTGACTCTTTGTATCACGATGACATTCTAATTTTTCCTATGGTTAGTTATTCTAACTGTTCAGGGTCTGATTTTTTATTATTCTTCTGGTACACTCATCTAAAATTAAGACATAATTCTTCATGTGTTTAGATGAAGTCAGGAGACATCCCTAGGCAAATCTATGAATCAGAGAAGCTACTGGATTCTGCAGCTCATTCAAAGGGGAATCAGTTGGTGTAATGACATGTATGAAGTATACTACTATATTACTTTGTACCTTTTTAAAATGTCTCTGAGTCCTGGCACATGACCAAACTAGGGCTGTTCCAGCACAGACACCTCAGCAAGTCTTACAGCTTCTCATGAGAACTCCTTGCCAGGAGGTGTGACAGCTTGGTTACTCATGCTTGGAAGGTGCTAAGGTGCTGTAACAGAGTTGGTGTGAGGCTGGCAACCAGCCTCAGCCCTGGTAGGAGGAAGAGGAAGCATTTCTGCTATGCAGGTCAAATTCTATCTCTCTTTTGTCCAAAGTGACTTGGCAATACAAACTGATATTCAGGAGCTTCAGTTTACACAGAGTTTAAATAACCCTAAATTTTTGACACAAAAAGTGCTGAAGTTTCAACTTCTCATGACTCTAGAGGCATGACAGCCTTAAATATGCTACAGTCTTCTCTCAAATACATGCTCATTGCTTTTGCAAGTAAGATGCTCATACCGTCCTTCTCCTCAACAAGTCCCTCTGCATGTTCTTCCCAGAGGAGACCAGCAAGGCTTCCCGGAAAACATGGTCCCAGGGGAAGGCAACAGCTGAGAAGCATCTGAGAACATGACAAATGCAGCTTCAGTTCTCTTCTGTTCTTGAAGTTACTAAAATACATAATTTTGCTGTATCGGAGAGGTAGTCTTGCCTTCTAGCTACACATTTTATGGACAGAGGTGCTATTGATTTCTCAGTGGTTCCTTGATGAAATACAATAATTTGCATAAGTAACTGCACACTCACACCAGTCTAGCCTGAGCTTACATACTTCCTGGCTTCAGCTTCCAAAGGGGCAGAAATTACTTTTTAAATTTCTTATTTTCATTCTTGTTCTTGTCCCATAGAAAGGGTTAAGTTGCTATTTTTTGAAAGTGAAGGAAATAACTGATGTTTTTTCACCTCACTCATCCATGCCCCTGACAGAAGGACCAGGCTCTGTTGTGATCCCAGCTTTGCTATGGCTTCACAAAGTACCACAGAGATGTTCTCCTTGTGGCTGTGAACACTCCTTGGTGAAAGAGAAGCTGCTGTCTCCAGACACAAATCTGCTCTTGAATATCTTGCCACACAAAACTGAGCAGTGTCTGAAGCTCTGTCTGGTCTGAGAGTGTAGGAGTTGGAGAGGACTCACTGGAAGGCACCTGTCAGATCCAAGGCAAGAGAGCAAGAAGAGCTTCAAGAGCCACCCCTGAACACGGAGGTTTATCAGGACTGCCTAGGTATGTGCAAGGAGGATGCTCTCCATGCATGACACATATGGGGCTCATCTTGTATTAGGAGCTGTGGTAAAGGATGCATTTAGAAGCACATTAACAAGCTTCTTCAGACAGGAGATCAGAACAGTGAGTTTCTACATTTAAATCATTCAGATTTGATTTAGCATTCTGGAACTAAGTAGGCAGCAACCGACCTACCAAAGAAGCAACACAATGAAGGTAACACTGCACCGAGTGGTTTAAATTGATACATATGTTGCTTCTTGTACCTTGAAACTGGGATTTTGATTCCAGTAAAAAGAAGACAGCACATCTCCAGATCACGATACTACATTTTTATGTAATTAATTCACTTTAATCTAACATAGTACTATTAAATTCTATGTCACTCAATATTATGATCTAAACTGTGGTAAATACTGAATAATTAATTTAAGAATATATAAACCTAAGTGTTTAGACTATCCTGGAAAGTATGTATACCTGAAGTTAGCAGTTATACAAATATCAGAAACATCTAATTCCAAGTTGATAGAGCCACAAAACAGTGACAGAATGAGCACATTCACTCTGTAAGAGTAAATTGCAATAAACTGGAAACTTAACTTGAATCAACATACTTTTGGAAGACCTTTTTGTTAGTCAGCACAAAAGTGCCCTGATGAGATAAAATCTTTTTGTTATTTTCAAAACACAGAGAGGATGGCATTCACATTACAACTACCATCAAAAGAGAATAAAAGCCTTGCAAAAAACCTCTACCAAACCCTGCAAAACTTGTAATGAAGCAAAACTAACACATTGCTTGACTGAATCATTATAAACTTCCTCTCAGCTGCTTTCTAAGGGACTGTTATGCATCAGAGGCATAACCTAGGGTGGAGAGTAAGATTAAGATACTTCCCAAACCACTATCATTGTACTTATGATTGTGAGTAGTATCAAAGCTACTCCCTGCTACTGGCAGTCAGGTTTGCTACCTTTCAGTGGTAACAAAAATATACCATTCTGCTGCTGTGAGCACACTGTAACTCCTGCTGAATTTGGGCCAGTTCACAGAGAGGGCTCTCCAAAAATACGGACAGGCATCAAACCATTCCAGCCTCATGGCTGGAAATCCTGAAGGGGCACATTGGGTGCTTTTCAAGAACAATCATCACTGTCTTCAGACAGAGATAACTATCTTGCAGGACAGAGATAATGATTTACTATTAGGATTTAATTTTTAAAAGCTACTAGTGTTGGCTGAACTTTTCTCCTGTAAAATTCAGCACCATATTCTCCACTGATTTAGGTGGGTACATAATGAAATGACTTGAAAATGCCAAGACACTTTTTATTCTTCCATATAGCCAGGTATACACATGCCACAAAGTAGTAATAAAATCAGAGGAAATGCAAGAGGAAATTCAACACTTTCCAATAATTTCCAGCATCCTCTGATAAATTCCCACTAGAAAATGTTAACTTTTATGCCTTCCTTTCACCAGAGAGAGCAAACAAGATGGTTCACAGAAATGCATTTCACCTCCCACTCCACCCCTGCGTTCATTATCTGTCACAAGTGCCAGGGCACTAAGGGCCCCAGACCACTTGGTGAATGCTGTTTGAATCTGGCACTGCTGCTCTCCACTGCACCCAGATCCCCCTGCCTAAGCAGCTCCTGATGGGCTCCACATACCACTGGAATACCAGGGGGTTCAATGGGGCCAGAGAGCCCCTCAACCCACGACCTGCAAAGCATTTAAACAGTTTCCTTGAAACATTCTCCACTGTGATTGTTTTCAGGATCTGTGACATGAACAAAATAATGATATAATTCTTCATACATGCTTTTAAACAAATGAAACTGTGACAGCTGTCAGTAGTGGGCCTTGGAACATCCAAAAAGTCTGGGCTGAGGATCTCTGCTTCTTCCCTAATAAAATCAACACATATATACATTTTAAAATTTATCACACTATGAATGACTGGTGGATGATTTACAGCATGCAACACTGAGGTCTGTTTATGTAAATGTTCAATGCAAACAAAATGCAAAGCTTTATGAAGAGCTAAAATTTTTCAGAGAAGGCCCACTCAATTATAACGTTCAAAAGTAAGACCTTCAAAAGCCATTACTGCTAACAGATTGTGTCATGCAATGCACACACAAAATGGAGGACTGTGCCCAGGGACAACTACTGCAGGCAGTGAAATTGAGAAGTATCATAGCCATGGCCAAATATACCTGTTGAATGTCTTCCCAGCTTCAGCATCCGCAGGGCTCTAAGAAGTCTCAGCACTTGGACAATGCGCCCCACATTCTCCAGTTCTTGGGAGCTCTCACCACCACACAGGCTCTCTACCAGCAGGGTGATGTAGAAAGGCAAAATAGCAAGGAGGTCTATGATGTTTGCCACACTCCTTAGGAAGCGGCACCGATCTCGTGCACACAGGAGCCTCAGGACAAACTCCGCTGTGAACCACGCAATGCACAGGTACTCTAGGGCATCCAGCAGTGCTGGGGCCAGCCAGCTGAGCTCTACCGAAATCAAGGCCATGTTGGCAATTGACACAACAACAAAAACCATGGACAAGGTGCCAAACGTCCTGGCTGCTGCAGAGGAGCCAGGCTTTTCCAAAACTTCCCAAAGTTTCTGTCTGACATTGGGACAGAGGCTACCAGAAAAATCCTCTTCTTCTTCTTGGGCATCCAGTTCTTCTGCATCTTTCTTGATGTCTAAGGCTTCACTCAGCTCCTTCCTCCTGAAATACCTGCCCAGGAACACCCCCCAAAAGATTTTGAATACCAATAGGCAGATGCTTGTCTTATAATTTACCATGCAAGTCAGAAGAATACACATTAAAATTAATGTAAACTCAAAAAACCCTAATATCAAGCATATGGCTTTTATTGTTGAGCCCCTGCAGCATGTTTCCACTGACTGATATACTTCTATTACCCCATTTCACATCAGTGACACATTCTAGATGCAGAGTAATTTTACTGATAGCGATTTATTTATATGGATCATGTTGGCCACAGTAGGATCTGCGGCACGACTAACATGAATTCTTAGAAGCAATCCTGGCACAACTAGATCCTCTGTTTTTAAACAGTTCTCAATTTGTTTAATTGTATGCCATCTTTATTACGCTGGTCCATATTTGCAATAGTAAAGCTGAAGGCACAATTAAAGCCATGCAGTTCATGGGTGAACTTTAGTCAATACACACCAAGATGACAAGGCATCCTTCTTTCTTTAGCTATATGGGTTCTCACACAAAGTGGACAAGCATTTGTACTGAGTAAAGCTTACAGACTGTAAATATATAGCGTTTTGTCAGAGTAAGAGTATATTTAAAGTGGAATTTTGTCAATCATAAACATACTCGAAATACACACACAAAAAAAATTCTTTAATCTCTTTCATTTTGCCTGCTGCAAAGTTCAAACTTTAGACAAAGGTGTTGTGCAATTTTGCCTTCAATACAGTCAGTCCTGCATATGTCAAAAAGGTCTGTAGTTCCATGTATCACTAAAGTAGTAGGAACGTTTAGTTACACCTACCAGAGAAGGAACAAAGGGATGAAAATTAGGCTCAATTTTTCTCAGCTGAAGAACTAAGCCATACTAGGGTAGGATAACTGTAATGTCCTTTTGGGATGGTATAACTTCTTTCTTTCTAATAATTTTGACATAACTGCTATAGCTAAATAGCAGTTACATTCTTTATAAAATTCTTCAATACTAAAAAACCCAAACCAGTAACATTGAATATGGTGGGAAATTAACTGCAAATAGAATTAACAGAAACATCCTGGGGGTGGTTCAGTCAAAACCCACCTCGTTCCTAAACTGCCTGTTATAATTTGTCTCCAGTGAGCCATGTTCCCGCTGTTGCTGCCCCCTCCCTGTAAGCTGCCACATCCACGTGCAATGCTTCCTTTCATGGCTCCTCCTGGAGCCATGCCACCCACACTCAGCCTGGCAGGTGACCAGCCCCCCTTCTGCCTCTCCAGCTTGAATTTGGAAATCCTTCAAAATTAAAGTGCAGGTGGGCAGGATCCAAACCCTCACAGCATTGTGCATTACTCCACATCTATTCCCTCTATGATAACCTCAAACGGAATGATTGAAGGGGCATCTCTCCTTTCACAACCCTTTTCATCTCTGCCATTGTCCTTTTCAACATTTTGAGCTTCCAGGCCCAGTTTGAAGCCACTACAGGACATCCCAGACCCTGTTACTGTCTCACTATCTTGACCTCACCAGCAATCTTTCCCACAGCAAATGGTAACTGTGACCTCACCCAACACATCTCCCATTTCTGACACCCATCCACTGCTAGAGCACTCTGGGCTCAACTCACACAACTTTTCCTGCTACCTCACCTATCCCCACTGCTAGACCTCTCACCTGAGGGTCCCTGAATGCAAGTCAATGCTGAACTCATCTAGCCCACAATCCACAAGATGAGGAAGCCTCATTTCCCACAACTCACCGGTCTCTGCAGCAGGAATCAATGCTGAGCTCATCCAAGCCCCAGTACTGGATCTCTTGCAGGAAAGAGAGTGCACAAAGCTGCTCCATCACATGCAGCCTCCCCGTCTGGTAGTAATTCAGAATGTAGTGAAATGCCTGTGAGTTTCGGTCAAAGAAATACTCATTCTCCAAGAGGTTGGCATCATCACAGAGCTCAAGGAGGCCAGAAGCCACATCCCGGGCAGCAGAAACCACTACTGCCAGTTTGCCAAGACGGGTGTCAGGGTAGCAAGACAAAGTTTGCTGGGACATCACAAAGCGACTGCCTCCTACATTGATAGTAAAGCAGTCCAGAGAGGGAATGACCTTCTGGAGCAGGGGCCCCTGCTCTTCCTCACTGGAGAAAACACTGGACTCCAGCGAACCCAGAGATGTGCTACTCCCCGGATCCTCCAAAGATGCTTGGGAAGAAAGAGACATGCAGCAGGGAGGCGACTTCATCCTGTAGCTGCCAGCAGCAGCCCACACTCTCCAGAATCAAAACCACAACACGGCTGCAGAGAAGGCTGCCCCGCCAGGCTCGGAATGTTGCCTCTGGCTATCGTCCCAGGGACACCGCACCGTCCCCGCTGCCTCCGGGCGGTGCCTGGAGCTGGGCGGAGGTCAGGCGGGTGCTGCACAGCCCAGCGCCGCCCGCGCCCGCGGGGATGCTGAAGGAGCCGGGGGACCCGAGGCGGCGTCACCTCGCGCTGTCCGCGCCGGCACCATCCGCCCGCCACAGCCCCTCCGCTTCAGCGCTCATCTCCAGCCGCGGGGTCTGGGCAGGGGAAACCCACCGGGACGACACAACACGAAACACCGGCTTCAGCGGCGACTCCGGGCAGCGCCCCGACAGCAGCCCTGGGGGCCGCTGGCCAGCCCGTCCCCTCCCGCCCCGCGCTCGCACTTCGGCCGGGGCTGCTGCGGCCGGAGCCGAGCCCCGCGCCGGGGCAGCCGCCGCCAACAGAGCGCCTGGGCAGGGNNNNGGCAGCGCCGCTCCATGGCGGGCCATGTGCCGGGCTGGGCCGGGCTGGGCCGGGCGGGGCCGAGCCGACCCCGCCCCGCAGCCGCAGGTGCGGTGGTGCCGCCGCTGTCCCCGCCCGGGGCTGCCTCTGGGACAGCCCGGCGCTGGCAAACTTGCCCGAGGCAGTTCACGGGGCGGTTCGGAAGCCTGCCCTGCGCCGTGTATGTAACCCCAAACGTGTCTCTGAGCAGGTAACGTGTCCTCAGACTGCTCCCACGGCTCAAGTCTGAAGTCACTCGCGTAAATAAGGCACTCTAAATTGATGGGCGTGAGCGAGCCTATTTTAACCGAGCTGCATTCAGCCTGTTTTCAAAAATACTCTGGAGTATCTTCGTTACTGTCCTGTGCTGACTTTGTAGGTCCTCAGTTCAACAATGCAAAAATTTAGTTCTCCCTCCTCATTATATTTCCTTTTCTCCTATGAAGCAATTATTTCTGACAAATACTTGCTTTGGAAATTCGTGCTTTCTGCTGCCTCTGACTCCTCGCGAGGGTGGGCAGCTGCCGATATTCCAGTGGAACCTCCCAGGAGGGGAAGTTGTGGAGCATGCAAAATGTGGCATTGTCTGTGTCATGCCGCCAGCATCATGTGATGTCCCACCAGCTTTTTATCCCACGTCGCTTGTTGCATACAGCTGTGTCCAGTTATGCACATTTGTAGCATTTACTTTAGAGAGATCTCATAGAGTTTCATCTTTTGGGTACTGGTAATCCATATTTCAAATGAAGCTGAGCTGAACATTTACCATATTGCAGAATTGCAACACCCACAGCAACCTCTCTACTCAGCAGTTACTGGCATAGAAATCTGCTTAAGTGACTGTTGGCAAAAAAAAAATACACTGATCAGAGAGAATCCAGAGGAGAATAGCAAGGGTGGGGTTTGGAAGTCAGGGCACAGGAAGAAAACACAGAATGGGATACCTACAGTGGAAGGGAGTGAGCATTGTGATAGCCTTCAGACACGTAAAAGGCTGCTCACAAAGATAAGGATGATGTACTCTGTTCTCCTTGGATGAATTGGACATGTGTAGAAGTAATGAACAGCAGGAAGGATATCTAGAGTAGCCATTATGAAGGCTTTGGTGAAGCAGTGGAAGAGGCACATTTGCTGTCTGTTGCAGGTCATCAATGAGCTGGCTGGACAAGGATCTGTCAGAAATAGCAGATGTGTGGTGCTGCTTTTCCTGAGGTAGTCTGGAAGGGTTAGATGAACTTGTGATACCTCTTCTAGCTTTCTAATGGTATATTTGAAGTGTGTCATAAAGAAAAATACTTATTTTCATAGACATTTTCTTTTTTATTGTTTAAAACAATAAAATTTAAATATAATTTAAGTGCATAAACACAAACCTATGAATTAGTTTTCCTTTGAAACTATCAACAACTGCTGTTATGCAGCAGGCTTTCAGGAATCGCTCTTTTTAAATCCAGGATTGCCACTCAGGAGTGCAGTCCCTCTGACAGATAGCACATAAGCCAGCATTTAATTAAAACAATAATTAAAAAAGTAATTAAAATCACCAATTTAACAGCATCAATGAGAAGTACCTCAGAACAGCAAGATGCCTTACTGACTGTAATAGACCCCTAACTGCTCAGTCATTAAACTACTCACTCAACCTCTTTTCAGTAGTTCTTTCCATCAGCCAGAAAGACTTTTTCAGGAATAGTTTCTCCATTAGAAGGGACATCTGAAAACACTCCCCTCCCATCATGATGATTCAAGTGATTACTTCAGATTCACTGGTGTTTCTAAGAATCTAGCTACCCGTTTTGACTTTGTTTAGTCAAAGTCAAAACTGCCTCAAATGCCCAGCCTCATTAAAACTGTTGATAATTTGTTCTTAAAATACTCTGATACATAATTTCCAGCACATGTATGAGATCTTGAGAGATCAGGTTCATTTTTCTGTTTACTTAAGTAATCTATGGCATAATTACTGTATACAGGTATATTTATTTCACTTCAAACTTAATTTTTTTGTCTGATTATCAACTGTTCAGACCAGAGTGTTTTCTTCAAAACACTAGAGGAAAGCCGTATGTTAAGGGTATGTTTTCCCTTAGTTTTTTTCATTCTTCCATGTACTTCTCACTGCAGGAAAATGACATCACCAACAAATTTCTGTAGTGTCCACAACTTCCATACTGTAAACTCACATAATCAAAATTAGACAGGAGATATGTGTATGATATAGGACCTTAATTCTGAGTAGTTTCCCTGCTAGTTGTAAATTTAGATTTTTATTTAAAAAAGGACTTTTAGAAAACTGTTCTGAAAATTATCTTCAAATGTAACAACAACATAAAGCTGGAGCATTTCAAAGAAATGAGAAAAATGTTTTATGAGTAGAAAGGCTCAAAACCAGAGAATTTATTTTTCTACTACTAGAGACAGAAGAAACAGGTTTTACTGGTGCATATTTCATTTTCAGGGGATCTCTTCAATGATCTGCTATTTGTCATTCCTGCTCATTTGTACATGGGAAACTAAAGCAACTTTCATAATTTTATCATTCCCTTGGCAAACTCTCTCAAGCAACCATATTCATATATCCCTAGAGTAGTAGCAAAAGCTGCTATAAGAAGACAAGGTCTGGTCTTAATCACTCTGCCAGTGAAATGCTGCATCTGATGTGAACCACAGACATTTCCAAGGTGGTTTGGCTCATGGAATTAGCAATGTTGGAGAGAACCATATCTGCCTGGTTCAGATCTGTGGTTCAGACCAAAGGGACTATACTGCTTTATCATGTCAGAATATGACAAACAATATTGACACTAATGACATCTGTCTGAACCACTGTCTTTACCAATGCTTCTGCTCATATTTCCCTGATGTGATATCACTGACAGAAAAAACAGATTTCATTGTTTCAAGATATGGTACAAAACCCAAATTTGATGGAATGCTGAAATATGAGTTGCAACCCAGTATGTCTGTTGTGGGAGTTGAAAAATTTACTTCAGCAAAAGAGCCAGCTGTTACAAAAACCTCTTTTTTAAAAAAAACACACTCTTTTATAATGTGTTTTCCTTATTTTCTCTACTCATATTGAAAACTATGATTTTATGGCAATTGTGTAGTCACTTTTTTCAGCTGGTATACTGTGATAGACACAAAAAAGCCAGGATGTGCAGGTCCAAACATTTGCCATTATCTTTTCAAATAGGCTCGATTATCTTTGTATAGAAGTAGTGCTTCAGAATCAACTGATTCTTAATTACTGTAATTTCTGACATACTGGGTTTCCATATATTTTAATACTTTTATCTCATATATTAGTCTGTTTTGGACCTTAAAATCTAAATGGTTCCCTTGGTCCTTGTGTAGTAAAACAGAGGGAAAGCATTCGGAGGAAATATGCTGGTTAGGATATTTCTAGGCAAACTCCCTCCAGGAACACCTTCATAGTTTTCAGTGGCACAGGAATTTGATGAGCAGGAGGCTGCATGGAGCCTAACATGTTTAATACCTTTTCATGGTGCTGATAATGATTTGTTTAAGGTTCTCCACTATTTAACTGTGCACAGGGTGAAAGATACCACCAAATTGTGTTTAACTGTTCTCTGTTCTGGTGTTGCGATTGCTGAATAATGATGTCCTGCTCGTGTTGCCAGTACCATTCATGATTTTGCTGACATATGCCATACAATAGTCTCTGGGGAAGTGGTGAGTTATAATAATATGTTTAGTTTTTATATGGATCCAAGCTTTGTGAGTAATAAATCAAAACAAGGGTTAAAATTAATGAATGTTAGCAGTATCACTGTTTGTCTCTGACAAATTTTGTCCAAGACACAAGTTTTGAGCCGTGAATTCAACTGCATTTAGCATGAGACATAATCTGTATCATAAACTCCATTTCCTTCATGCAGATCAAGAGTCAGTCCAGCAAATGACAGTGGTACTGGCTACATACTCTGTTGAATATTTCCCATTGGTTAGTGTAAAGCAGTGCCCTTCAGGACTAGTTGTGGTTCTTTTACAACCTAGGTGTCTGAAGCCTGTCTTTCTTTCATATAGTCTGAGAGCTGCTGTAATGTCACTCTTTCAATAACAGGTGAAAAAAGATTAAACCTAGAAATTCTCTAGACAACTCTCTGCTGTTACCTTTGGCAAGTGAAATGAGAGCTTATTAACACAGCTTTATTCCCCCCAGGGATATTCTGCTTTTCTTGTGGAAATGGTCCAGCTGAAACCAGCCAGATCTCACTTCCTTTAAGCTTGCTGCATGGAACAGACAAATCAGAAGAAGACACACGGTTTGGTTCACATTGTGTGAAAACAGTTTAAGAGAGTATGGAATCAGAGCTATGTTAAGAAAGCTGTTTTCGGTATCTCTGAACACTACCCACTTTCAGACCCTATTTATTTTCTTGCCTTTTACAATGTGGTAGGAAGTAAAAAAAGCATAGCTGGGGAGGTAGTTCTGTAGAGCAACTTACACATATGAGCAGTT